GGGACTGGATTTTTCAGTTTCTTCTTTTCTCCATTGTTACCAGTTACTCTGCAGTATACTCAAGAACCAGTATGGCTTTTGCAGCTCACTCAACAATGTCAAATCAAAAAGGACTCAATAGCCTCAGGGTTTTAACCCTTCCTACACATTGATATTCCATATGGAAGACTGCCGCTTGAGGGAAAAGGAATATGAAGTTTATATGATTGATGGAAGAGATATATTGGTAGGAATGCTTAAAAAAACCAGCAAATGACACAGGAGTTTGTTAAATTACATAAAAGCAGATAAACCCTCTTCCCATCTACTGAGAACACCCACAGAATAAGAAAAACTCCAGTAAGCTCCTGCTCATGGTTTCCTGCATTCTGTGTAGAAAGTCATGCCATCCACTTCCAGCTCATGAGGCAGCCATCAATCTTACTCAGTGAAATCTTCAAACAGAAACCACAGGAGGCAATGGCCTCCCCTACCCCACAAGTTGTATCTGTGAGTATGTCTGGAACACTCCCCAATTTTTCAGCAGCTTTGCAAAAGCTTTGTGCTACCACAGCTTTTCCTAAGTGTGGCTTTACTACTGATGCCCTTCATAAAGGCTTTCAAGGCCTTGGAGCAGGGTTGCCAGAGAACTATTAATCTATGTCAGGCTGCAAAATAAATAGCATAGCTGCAATGCCTACACAGAATCTGCTAACAATGGATAACAATGTTGGGAGGCAGTTGTCTGATGAGCTGATGGAAAAAACCGTTGTCACTGTTTGGATCCATTGAGTCGATGTTGCTGAGCTCTGTAACTGCCCTATCCTAGCACCTGAGCCAAGACAGCTCATTTTTACCAAAGTCCATTTAGCAAAACAAAAATCAGTGTCCTTGTTCTGGCTCTGCCCAGCCTGCTGCCCTCAAAGCTAAGAACTGAGGGGTGGTTCCCAAGACACAAGGAAAGAGTAAGAAACACTGAGACACTGAACCAGAATGCAGCAGGCATTATCTGTCTGCCCAGATTTAGACTCGAGTCCATCATTTGCACAGGTCTGTTCTAAGCTTTCCTCTCTGCTTTTCTGCCCAAAGTTTGGCTCACTCAGCAGCCTCTTGTACAACTATTCCCTTCCTTTCTGGGAACTGACAGTGGCATGGGGCACACTCAGCCCAGGCAGCCACTTCCCTGGGCTCACACAAATGGCAGTCCTGTCAGATTCCCAAGAGGTGAATACAGTGATCTCCCTAAGAAAAAAATTAGTCTCTTTTTACCACCCAGAGAAATGTGATTTTAGTCTGCTAATGAAAAGCTACAAAATTCTGACTTTAGCCACTTCAAACACTTTTGCTCAGCACACAACTCCCAGCAATTTGATACTGTTAAAAATATGGAAATACAAGAAAAACCATTGAAAGTGTCTGAAGCAACCCAGCAAACTCCAGGAAAACTGCTGGAAGGTCTTTTGCTCCATACAATCAAGATTGTAATCAGCAACAGAGAAGATAAGAGCCACGTGAGCAAATTGTTTAAGAGTAATCTGTAGACAGCCAACCTGAGATGTTGTAATGCACTCACTGTATAGAGCATTAGCATAAAGGGCTCTAAAACACCTTCTAGCTGGAAAGCTGACCACCAGTGAGCTGCAAGAATTTAGGAGGTTGCCTCCACTGGCCTTCATTTGAATCTCCTCCACTGGTACACTTGAATGGCACTTTAGACTTTGGCACTTCATCTCCCAATGATACTCCAGCCTTCATACCCATCTCCTTCTCTTCCCACACTTTATCACATCTTTCAGTGTGCCTCTTGTCATTCAAAATATGAGCACTGAAACTTAATATATACACATATGTATTTATTTATATATATTATAAATAATTTATACATATTATACATATACATCATTTATAGTGGCAAATACATGAAGAGAAATAACAGAAAAGGTCCACCAGCTCACAGCTTTATTACTCCACTCTTCTTTCAGGAAAAAAAATTTCCATGAGGTATGTAATTCAACCAAAGAGACCTTTACATTTTATAGTACTCCTCTGCCATGGGACTTGGTCAACAGGACTCCAGCTTTAATTTTCAAATTACTCAAGGGAACCCACAAGGGCTATCAGTAGGGTTTTACAGCTTTGGTGAAACAGGTTCTGTTTCACACTGACCATGAGCAAAAGAAACATCCTCAATAAAGTATTTTGAGTAGAGAAACCAGTCTTCAACAATCATTCCAAGCTACTGACAAAGAGCTTTCTTTTGGCACCATACTGTGTATTGTCTTAATGAACTAGACTTAAAAATAATTCAGTCTTTCTGACAAGAGTGAACTATGCTGAAAGTCAAAATTCCTCTGTCCACAACCATTCTTTAAGTCTCTAAGCACACAGGTTCCCTATAGTATTTGGACAAGTGCCCTTCCCAGCCAGAGGTCAACTTCATATATGGCCACTGAAAGTCTCCTGCCTGCAGACTGAGACAAAATTAAAATGGTGGAGAAAACCTGTAACTCATCAAGTAACAGCCCCTTCCTCTAAAATGATGTGTGAAAGAAAAAATAATGGTGGTGTTGAGTCACGTGAAATTTGCCAGACTTGAAAGCTGAGGAAAACATTTTAGCCTTTCATCCTAATTGTTTCCTAGGAGGTTTTCCTGCTGTGTGGAAAACATGTCTAAACCTTATATTATAGCATGACTCATAAAGTTCAAAGGAAAAATTCACAGAGTGGCAGCAAAAAGCTCACTTGTAACTTGGTCTAGCTGGTTACCCAATAATGACTAGTCAGCTCCTGAGAAACTGAACCACCTCACGTCACACAGTTGCTTCAGCTTGTGCAAGCTACAAGAAGGGTGGTTCTGCTGCTGGCAGCACGTCTGCCATAGAGCCAGTGGGGTAACAGGAGGAGGCTGTGACAGGGATAACTCTGGAGAATGAAACAGAGTAGGACATCCATGGCCAAAGGAAAATGGTGATGATGTTGAGGCAGCAGCATGACACACTTTGGATTCAACGCTCCTGGAGAGAGCAAAGAATTTCTAAAAGCACAGTGCTCCTCACGTGCTCTCCTTTCTACTTCTCTGCCAGTTCCACTCTCATCCCCCTCTGTGGCAGCAACCCACTCTTCTGGGTTTATTCAGGATGTGTCCCCATTTGATGATGACTGTGTAAGGACTCCTTCCAAAAGGGTGGTGGCAAAGGGTGCAGCTTCTCAGGAAATCCCTTGTTGTCGTGGTAAGTTCCACCAAGCTGACTGTAACGAGCATGAGCTCCTCCCTTGTCCAGCGAGTGGTGTTCCAGCTCAGCTGCCTCTTCCCTTTCATCACTTCCAGTGCAAGCCTCTCCTTTCCACTGAGGAATTTATTGGCATGTTGGAACCAGAGAATGGCTGCCCTTCAGCTTGAGACATCTCTGAGAGCCAACTCTAAAAAGAATTGCATTAGATTGGTTGGATGGCTGTGTTCAGATGCATTTCACCAGCAGTCCAAAATAATTTTTTGAAGTTTCAAGTCTCCTTCTTCTTGCTGGGCTCCCAGGGGATGAAAGAAGACAGCAGGGCTATTCCTGCAGGGTTAAGCAATGTGATTAGGGCCCTAATAAGCAGTTGTACTTGGTGGCAGCTGTGTAAGCTAGGTCTTGTAATTTCACTTATTATTTTAGTATTACATTCCCACAAAGTACCCCACTTTTCTTATGTTATTCTTTGTACAGAGAAATGTGATGCAAGCCAGGTTTTATTGTTAGAAAAACCCCATGATCTGAGAATATCCATTGCTCTAAGTTAGCTCTCAATTTACTGCTTTTGAAAATTCTATGGAATTCATTAAAAGACGTGAAAACTTGAAAACAAATTTGCTTTTTACATTATTCCCCCACTCAACATTATGCTCCTGCCAAGTGCGCACTTCCAGATAAAAGACGTGAGGATATGCTTTTTTTCCAAGTATGACAAGTGAAGCGGAACTAAAGATAGTAAACTTCAGTTTGTATCACTTCATACTTTAGTCGAGATTATTGGCTCACAGGTGTTGCAGCACTACTTCTGAAGTGACAACTTAGCAGACTGGTCTAGAAAAAACACGTTCCTTCACAAAACTAAACACTCTCGGGAGCAGCATCTTCCTTCAGCCTTTCTCTTTGCGCATTTCCACCCTCGGCCACAGTCTGACAGCCAGCCAGGCTCTCCCCTGTAGCGTTGGCTGCAGAGCATCACCTGGCGCCATGTCACACTGAGGAGGAGCAGGGCA